CCCCGGCCCGGCTCCGCCGCCGCCGCAGGCACCGGGACGGGACGGGCGGGGCAGGCGGCGCGGCGGAGGCCGATGATTGGCTGGTGGCCGGCGGGCGGCCGGGCGGGGATTGGCTGCCGCCCTGCCTTTGTTCGGCTGCAGCCACTGCCGCAGGGCAGCGGAAGTTTGAGCGCGGCGGCGGCGGGTGTGAGGGGCGGCGGGTGTGAGGGGCGGCGGCACCAGCACCTCAGCGCGGCATCGCCGGACGGGAGCTGCCTCGCACCCCGCCCAGTCCCGCTCCGCTCCGGAGCCCGGCCAGGCGGCACCATGGACCTGGAGACTAAAGTCAAAAAGGTAAGCTGGGGGCCGCCCGCCCAGTTACCTGCCGCGCCGGCCGGCGGCACCCTTCTGGCCGCTGCCGCCCCTGGTGGGGGCTCCGCTGGGGATGGCCCCTCTCGCCGCCCGGCTGCTACCGCTCCGGGCTCCGTCGCCCCATCCCAATGCCGGGGGGGAGGTGGGAAATGCCTCTGAAATGACCTCCTGGCGCCTCGGCCTCAAGCGGAACAAAAAGCGGCTGCTCCGATGAAGACGCCGCAGTTCGTTCCCCAGGTGGCCAAGGGGTGCCCTTGCCCCTTCACGCAGGCATTGCCGTCTTTCAGGTAAAAACGTGTCCTCCCCCCAAAATCCTGAAACCGAAGAGCTGTACGCAGCCAGACTGCTGTTCACGGCTATGCTAAAGGTCAATTTCTGACTTATGATATCAATGACCCGTTGGAAGTGGTGTTGTCAGCGTTTGTACGGATTACCTTCCTTGAGACAGCAACTTAAGTTTATTGTTTGGGGTTTTCTTTGTTGTTTTTTGGGGGGTTGTTTTGTTTTGTTTGTTTTTAAGCATATCAACTAGCTAGTTTAGAGTGAAACTGGCAAGGAGTGAATGGTAAGTAACAGAAGGTGGTAAGTGATCCAGTTGTATTAGGTCTCTTTCCAAAACTTGCAGTTTAAAACTTCATCTGTAGAACTCATTTCACTTGGGATGCACCTCTGAATCAGTGCTGCTTAGTGCTTTTGCAAATTAAATGCAGCACTTAAGCGATCGCTTCTTTTATTGAGAACTTATAGTGTCTGAGACTATATGATAAAGGCAGGAGGAGCGCTGTATATGGACATTAAATCTGTACATAACTCTCATTGATATATCAAAGCTAGTCTTTTGAAACTCCTGTTGTATGGGCGTGCATGGTTTGTATTCCTGAATTGTTGTATTTAAGGGTACTAACTTATTTTAAAATCCACATAGGTGCTTTTGTATACCTGTATGCTTTTCCAACTTGCAGGCTAGAAACCAGCTCAAATATGGAAGTAGTTTTCCAGTCTGGAAGGCTTCCTGTTAAGGCTGAATCCTGTTGAAGGTGGCTAGCCTTGAGTCACAGTTATCTCAAAGTGATATCACAACACGTGATAATGTCACCTGGATGAGTGTCCTGGTTCAGAGAAACTACATATCTCATACCCTAATCACCTTATATGGCTGTATATAGATGGGTGTAGCAAAGTACCGTGTGCACAGGGTTGTCCCCTTTGCGTGATTGCTTGTATGTAACAAAACCAAGCTTCTTGAGTGGATCTGCTTATATTTTTCTAAGCACACTTTAAAACTTAAACTCCAGAGAGGGGAAGAGATGCATATTTGTGGAAGGCAGAGCATTCCTATTCAGAATTTCTTCAGTTAAAGAGAAAATAAATATGTGTTGTGAAATACTGATAAAATTCCGCTGATAGCAGACTGTTGGTTTGAGTGAACTTACAGTTGCTGAACAGCTGCTTTAAATTGCACTGTAGTTATTGGGTAGTTGTGTGTGTTGTAAGTTTATCTATTTTTGTCATATTTTCATCATCTTTAACTCTTCTTCATTGATTTTGAAGATTCCTGAAGACTTTTTAGAACATGCTCAGACAGACACGGAAGCCAGTGCCACGAAAGAAACCAGCAAAGCTCTGTTTGTAGGAAGTAATCTGTATTTTCTACTCTGTTCAGCTTTAGTATCAATATTGCTAAGAGATGTGTATGATGTGAAGAACTTCATGTTTTGTGTTTCTATTATACATATGTTCAGCAAACTGCTTCTGTTCTTCCTCTGTCTCCCCTCCTTTGTTCACATCTACTTATCACTTTCTTTCTCCAACTTGTGTGAAGCTCATTTCCCAAGAGAACAGACAAGGTTCTGTGAGAAGTTAATGCAGGGAGAACTGGGAAGCTTTTGCTATGTATCGATGTGTTTGCCACTAAATCCTTTCCTTCTTTTTTGACTTCCAATATTCACTTTAATCCAGACTTCCTCAGATCTTGTACACTGGAATAAATGAGTAACAGTTCATGTCAACTCTGCAATAGCTGCATGTCTTCAGTATCCATCCTTTAATTCTTATTCTCAACCTGTTTATTTCCTTATCTTTTGCTTCGCTCTTTTTGTCAACTTCCCTCTCTCATGAAAAATGGAAGAATATTCTGGGAAGTTTCCAGTCAAGCTTATCAAAACCAATGAAGTACTTGGCCTTTAAGAGAAACTTGTGGTAGATGGTAGAGATGTCCCTGTCAGATTTTTTGCCCATCAGCCCTAATGGGTAACTTAATCGCACGTCATGGTTCTCACCCCTATCTTTGTCCTGCACCTGGGGCCGAAATAATTGAGTCTTTTGACAAAATCTGCTTGCTATCTTTTGTTGACTTTTTATCTTGTAGTGACTTGTACCCATGACTTTTACACCTGGCAAATGAAGGTAAAGGTTAGGGAATAGTGAGTAGCTGACCTGCCTGTTGGGTAGGAAGTTCCAAGAACACTGGGCAGAAGTAATCCGGATCCTGACTTCTGGACAACCACAGTCTGCATGCAAGGCAAATTTCAGAATGAAATATGAGATATACATGACATAAATATATATGAAATATATATGTACATATATATTCTCAGTATATGTGGAATAGTGTGTAATTTTTTTGTAGTCAGGTCATTGTGCTTCTTGGAGACAAAATAACTCAGCCACATATCTAGCAGTGCATAGTGTGGGAAACTGGAGTTGCAAGGCAGTCTTTTTAGCTACTATGGAAATACGAAGTCTGATTCCTTACTCTGTTATAATTTCCCTTTAAAGGGAATGGGGACTTCAAGGCTGACTGTAGTTTTGTCTTTCTTTTTAGGAGGAATTTGACTTACTGTTGCATTTGAGGACTATAAAGACAGCTCTGTATACTAAAGGAGACTGCACAACAGAGCTGAAGCCTAAAAAACAGTAGCCCCAGCTTGAAAAGTACTTGTGCAACAAACAGACTACTAATTCTCCCAAATACAGTACACACTGTGTTTTCAAACCGTGCTTTGAGGGTATAGGGAAAATAAAGATTGAATGCTTTTTATTGAAGACTGTTAGAACGACGTTCTAGTGGTTCTGGATTCCTGCCCTGTCTGTCACCTCTGAACTTGGTAAAATGAATTAGTAGGTCACAGTCCTGCTGGCAGCACGGTCTTGTGCTTCACTAGAGAAAATAGGAATCTGACAGTGAGTCTGTTCTGTATAAGCTTTCAAAGTATAATACTTGCTTTATAAAAGGAACTTTGATTGTGATGGAGAAGGGGCAGAGGAGTTTGAAGGGAAGAGGGGCAACTTCTCCAATGTGGAACGTCTGTGTGGTTTTTCTATGGGCATGAGGTTTGGTTTGCTCTGTTACAGTGGAAAACCAAACGGAGTGCTTTAGACATCATTAAGTCAACAACTATAATGCTCTTTGATAAATGAATGGTGAATGAGGTATGCATAGGAGCAAAGTAAACTTTTTCATGTTTTGCAAAGCATGATTTAGTAATATCTGCTGGCCTCTGCTTCCTGTTGAGGTCACTGTTTGTTTTGGTGTTACTGCCATGGAAACCCATGATAGTAGAGCTCTTTTGCTGTTCCTTTATGTATAGTAAGATCAAGGAAATGCAAATTTATTCATGGGTGAGTTTTGCCTGCACGGAGAAGTATGAAACAAGTGTGGAGAGGTGAGAGGACCTGCTCCAGGTTTGGTAACAAGGAAACTGAGTAACTGCTTCCTGCCTGTGTTGTGATGGGACTTTTCCTCTCAAAACACTGATGTGAGTTGTTTTCTGGAACACTTGTCTGAAGGCACACCCCTAGTTACTTGTTGTCCCTCATTCCTGGATATCTTGGCAAAGACAGCAAGGCTAAGTTAAACTTTCTTGACCTTTTTTTTCTGGTGAATGTACTGCCCAGGTGTTTGACTATAAAATATAAAGAAATGCCTGAATAGCAAGCCAAGAGACTTCTTGGATGCAGGGCTGGCATGGCTTTTAAGATCAGGTGAAACTTTCTTGGATATGTCGTAATTCCAAGCCAAGAATTAAACAGTGAGATGGAAAACTAACCTTATCTTAAAAGTATTCTGTCATTAAAGGCACAAATATCTGGTTTTGCAAGTGTTCCTGGAAAAAAAGAAATATTTTTCTTTTCCTCTAAGTAAAATTAGTAATAGGGGTGACTAGAAATTGTGAATGAAATTTTATTGGTAAAAGTTGCTTACAACCACACTTCTTCTACCTCAAAGAAGTATATGGAACACTTCTTGCAAATTAATGGTGTCTTCCTAGCAAATAGTTTACAGATGTAATGGGGTGGATGTATATATCATATCAAGTTAAAAGTTAGGTTTTTACAGTCTATTTTAAATAGATATGCATGTTTGGTGTGTGTATATATAATATATACATATACCCCATACACCAATGTTTTATATAGGGTGTGTATGTTAAAAAACAAAACAAAAAAAGCAACCAACTAACAAAAAAACCCAACCCTCATACATACTGTCAACTAACAGGAAGAGTTGGTGAGGTGGTTCTCAGTTCTGAAGACCTGCAGGAAGAGGAGGGCTGTGAAGATAAGAGCTTGTCACGCTTATTATCTAGGGTCAAATGAATAGGCTCAAGGGAGCAAGGAGGCCTCTGAGCTTCTGTCATGACCATTTGGGATTACATCAAATGTAACTCTACTCTGGTACTGCTGTATGTGTGTTTCTGGTTTTTTTGGCTTTTAAATCTCCCTAACCCTCTCTCTCTACAGTGTTTTCAGTCTGAGGCTCTTTTAGCTGCAGCTTCTAAAAGCACTGGCTGAAAAAAAAGCCCTTTTCCTTCACGACTGAAGATCCTAATAAGTGAATATGTAGATTTCTATGTCTGCTTCTGAAAACCTAATATTAGAAGATGCAGATGGGCCAGAGCACTGATGTCAAAACAAAATACATGAATATTGTGAAAATGCCTCTTACAGCATTGAGTGATGGATAGTGCTGTATTGGAGGT